TGATAACCAAAAGCAGATAAGGATGCCACAAGAAAATTAAAACACAGTATTCCTGGTGAATATAGACACAAAAATCCTTAACAAAATATTTGCAACCTGAAAGCAACAATACATATAAGATCATTTAGCATGATTAAGTGGGATTTACTTCAGGGATACAAGGACAGTTCAGTATCCATAATCAGTGAATGTGCTATGTTAACAAAATTAAGGGTAAGTATGCTTATCTCAATAGATGCAGAGCAAGCACTTGACAAAAGTTAGCATCCATTTATATTAGAAACTGAGAAAAAGTGGATACAGAGGCTAAGTACCTTGGCTTAGTAAAAGCCATGTCTAATAAGTCCACGGCTAATAATCACATTCAACAGTAAAATGCTGGAAGCTTTTTATGCAAAACCAGGAAAAAAACAACAAGGGTGCCCAGTCTTGACCTGTTTTACTTAACATAATATTACTGTAAGTCCTTGTTAGTACAAATAGACATTCAAAAGAGAAGGTCTCCAAAATGGAAAGGAAGAAGTAGGGCTGTCACTGTTTATAGATGACATATATGTTAACCTTAAAAGCCACCAGCAAACAGAACTACAGGACACAAAGTGAGTATACAAAAACCTTTGCATTACTATGCACTAATGGTGAGCAATTGGAAAGAAAAATTAGGGAAATAATCCCATTTATAATTACATCAAAAGGATAAATTACCTCAGATTAATTTAACAAAAGATTTGAAAAACCTGTGCACTGAAAACTACTAAAAGACATTTGTGAAAAAAATTGAAGACGAATGGAAAGATTGCGCATGCCTTTGGATTCGGATTAATTCAACAATCTTGAATTAATATTGTTAAAATGCCTGTGCTTTCCAATAGTTCACCATTAGTGTATAGTAATGCAGACAATCCACAGAGTCAGTGCAATCTCAGTCAGAATTCACTATACATTGTCCACAGAAATAAAACAACCCCATTTTTATATGGAACACAAAAGACCCCAACCAACCAAAGTAAGCATGAGAAAGAAGAAAGCTGAAAGTACTATGGTCCCTTTTTGCAAAGCTGTAATAATGAAAACAGCATGTTAGCATAAAGAAAACAGAGAACAATGGAATGGAATAGAGCCCAGAAATAAACCTATGCATATATGTGTCGATTTGTGCACAGGAGCAAGACAGTACAATGGGGAAAAATAGTTTCTTCAATAAATGATCCTGTGAAAACTGGACCAGTCACATGCAATACTGAAACTGTCTTTATACAAAAAAAAATCAACTTGATAAAAAATTTGAATTTTAAGACCTAAAAACATAAAACTCCTAAAAGAAATCATAGGCCATAAGCTCTTGGACATTGAT